TATGTTTTTATTTTTGTAGAAATTATTTCCCATTAACACAGTCCCACATGTGACTGCAAATTGGGCATTATATTAAGTATTTCTTTGAATGACAATCTCCTAGGTTTGTAGCAAGGAAGAAGGAATGGCAAAGAATTGCTTGCAGATACTTGGATGTTTTGTATCTAAGAAAAAAAATTGTAGAAAAAAGAAAATATAGAAACATATATAGAAAATAAAAATCACTTTTCCATGTCTTTCACTCATTAGCTTCTGAGCATGTTTATTTTCAGTCTCCCCCATGAAAATAGTTTAAGGCAGGTCACCTGGTGAGTGGATGGCTTTCCTCCTTGTGGTAACTTGGGGCCCAAGCTCCCTCCTCCTTGTGCCTCACATGGCCACCTCTAACTGCCATAGGGAAGGAAAGCTGTATTCTAGCTGCGTGCCCAGAAAGGAGAGGAAAGAACTTGTGTTTAGTTCAGAAGTATCTGCCTTACGAAGTAAATATTCAGAGACCTTTTTAAGTCTGTTAGCCATTCAATTGCTGAGTAATACCACAATGTCTGTTTGCATTTTTAAATGGCCTTGGTGTTGGAAGATATTTGCCAGTCTGCTTCTTTACTAAAGGCAACCACCATTTCAAAATCTTCTGATGATCTTCTATTACCTAAAACACAGTCTTAACATTGATCAAAGTCCACATTCCATACTCTATCCTGGTTCTGCTTCTCCTCTGTTTTCCTAACAGCTTTGCTGATATGTGTGATCCTTTATAATAACTGTTTTGGACATCACTTTCTATCTTTTCTCCTTCCTTTCCCCTCCCTTTGCTTTTCCCATCTCATAGCACACAGGAATCTATTCCTGTGTCTTAGTGCTTACAAATGTTTTTGTAATTCTCTTTTTTCACGTCCTTTTCTTCTTAAACTGTGTTTTGTTAGAGGTAGAAACTCTTAATAATTTTTTTTTTTATTACCAGTTCTTGGATCCTGGCAATCTCTTAGGAAGAAAACGTTAAGAAAATTTTGAAGGAGTCCTCAGAAATCTATTACTTGATAACTCACCTGTGGATTATATAATGTTACTTTGTTTTTACTAAGGGGTCCAGATATTTCAAAGAACATACATATTAGTGATTAATATCAGTACTTGAATGTCTTTTTCTTAGAAGAAAAGATGAAAGGTTTTGTTTATATTTTTTCACAAGATCTGTGGAGCAGTGGCCCTCCAAGAGCAAGATGCAAATAATGGCATCTGAACCCTAAGGCCTTGCAGTGCCACAGAAATATGTCCCACTTGGCAAACCCCAATTTCATTCAGGGTTCTGCCACTTCTCAGCAGTGGTACCTCACACAGAGTCACTTATCTTTTTGAGCCTCAATTTCCTCATCCTTAACAGGATCTAATACGATACATGGCTGCCATTTGTGCATTTGAGAGTGTATGCATTTGAAAGTAGGAACCTTGAAAAGGGACATGAACATGTGAGGAATTATCATGCCACAGAGAATATTTTGCTGCTACTACTCACACTTTGGCTCTTGACGGAATATACAAGAAAATAATGCACATCATCCCTTTCCAGTGTCCCACTGCAATTTTCAAGTGTGCTTTATTGCTTATCCACGACACTAAAAGTTGTTTACTAATCGATAAGCTGGCAGTGTTGTTCATTTTCTTAGGATATGATAGTCCTGAGCACAACTAGAGGAGAGAAATTGGAGGGGAGTCTGTTTATCCATATGAGGCAAAGACTAGATTACTCCTGTCAGGATTGAATACTGAAAGGCCTAGGCTATCTTTCTTGGTGTGAGAAACAACTCTTGTACAAGACAAGATCTTGTATTTTTCCCAGTATTTATCCCCAGGTGGTAAGTATTAAGCACTAGGTAATGGAGGAAGGGAGTCCAATAGACAAATAAAGTTCAAAAGCACTAAGAAATGATCTTTTGAGGCCTTTCCTCACAGAAATACCAGTAATCCATGATTAATATTGCAGGTGGTCTCTAGCCTCCCCTGGGTCTACTTAGAATTTCTCTACTTTTTGTGGTGTAAAGGTGGTATGTGTTCAGTAGAAACCACAGCTTCATATTTGGAATTTTGATCTTTTTCTGGGCTGCTGATAAGCAGTGGGATGCTCTCTGAAGATGCCAGGCAAAGGTGACAAGCTACAGCTCCCACTCAGCCACTGGTCACGGGGTTAAATGCCGGCACTCTGCAGTTCCCTGTGAGGCTGAGCTGTGAGGCTGAGCTGTGAGGCTCAGTTAGCTACATTAAAGGCATCTTTGACTTTCGGTGTTTTCAACTTACAGCGGATTTTTCAGCACATTCCCCCATCGTAAGTCATCTGTATACGGCATCTGTATACCAAAGTAGAATCTAAAAAATAAAAAGTCTTTTCAAGTTTATTATTTCAGAAAACATACAGCAAAGAAATAAGAAGGAATATTCCAAGAATCAAAGGAATGGTGCATTTTTCTTTTTAATCTGTAAAACACTGACAAAGAAAATACCTTAAATTTGACTTCCACTTGAAATGTATGTACTAAGGGGTAGAATCTGAATTTCTGGCTTAGATTTATAGATGACATGTTCACTTTCCTGTTACTATTGAAAGACAATGACATATGTCTTTGTCAATAATATATTGTGTCCATTCCTTGTGGATCTCCCCTAAGTCTGGAAGCAGAAATTATGAGGTGCTCTGTAATAATTGTTGACTTAATTAAAATAGTCAGCACTATTTTTATTAGAGGTAAGATTTTGTACTTTGCTAGAATTGTTCTATATTTTTGTTTGATTAGGGGTGGGGGAGGGGGGAGCCATGGCATTTTGATAGAGATGACACCATATTTGGGGTTGCAGTTCTCCCTTTATTGCAAGCCTGGTCACTGGTCACTTTCATGTCCAAGTTTTCAGTTTTGCTTCCTGAACTGGGATAATGCCCTCTCAGAGACAGGTTGGAAGATTGAAGGAGTGCCTCTTCATTGTAACAATCTAAAAGTAGCTAAGCCCTCTATTGCATGAGATGTAGGCTATCCCAGTTTATTTCTCACAAACACTGTGGGGTGCATTGGCAAACTCTTTGCACAGAAGGGAACCTGAAGTTATATGAGATTCATAAGACTACCTAAGGACTCCAAGTTGTGTTATAGCCAAGTCTCTCTCCAGCTATAATAAGCCATGTAATATACCCTTTACTCTGTCTGACTGCAAATTCCTGTCTGGATGTGGTCTCAGAGCCCTACTATTCACTCTACACCCAGGACAGAACTTTCTATATTTGATTATATCATCCCTCTAATAAAAACCCTTATCAGAGTTTCTTCTGTTCTGGATGTTCCTGAGAACATCCAGATACATTCCTTGTAGTTTGTGAACTACTTAAAGTCTTAAGCAAATTCTCTGTGTTTTCATAAATACCATGTTTTTGTTTTGTTTTGTTTTGTTTTTGCCAAAAGAGAAATAGCTCAGCAGATTTTGAGAGTTGTACCTGGTCTCAACTGTGGGCTTACAGTCCTTGAGAAGCTCTAAGCACCTCAAGTGTGCCAAGGCAGCAGTGAGCCCCCACTTCCTCTCTTCCCACCTTCCAGACTGAAACACTGAACCACTTGTACTTCTTTGTATTCACACAGGTTGCTTGTAACTCTGACCCTTTGCTAGTCAGAATTCCCTACTTGTTTTGGGTTGGGAGCATTTTGCATGATTTTGGTGGTATCCGGCAAATCTTATCACTTCAAGCCATCATGGTAATAAAACAAAAGTTCTACTTCATGAATTGCAAAAGTAGAACTACGTACTGTAAAATAAATAAATATAGAAATTAAAACTCCCCTAGAATTTCACACCAGGGGTTGGGGGAACCTTTAACAATATGCCCTTTCCAATTTTTTTCACGTCTTTGTATAGATCTGTAATTAGACAAATTATACTCACTTTACAAAAATGGAGTTTCACTTAGCCATCCTATTATGCAATTGAATTTGCTAAGACTCATGCTATTGTCATCTTCATAGGTTTGTACATAGAAATTTGTATCTAAAATGATCCTTTATGTGATCCATTTAATGGTTAGTTACGTTGTTACTTTTTGTTCCTCTCAAATATAGCTCCTGTCATCAGTCTTGGTCATATAATTTTATATACTTATCTGAGTATTTCTAAATAATTTTCATAGAAGTAGATAGCACATGCACAATTTAAAGTTTATTAATACTGGAAAGTCACTCATCCAATGTTCATATCTATGTATATGCCCAGCAATGTACTCTGCTTCTTATAATTAGTCATGTGTGCTGTTTCTCCCTCCCTCTTGAGTCCAATCATCTCCAGGCAAGCACTGTGCCTACTCTTTCTTGGAAATTCCCTACTGCTTGCAGATGTTACACAAAATAGACATTGTAAGAATAAGTGATTAAACAAATAAGCAAAAGAATAAATGTGTGGGTTAAAGAAGTCAGTAGCCCACATACTAACTGTATTGGGCAGGTAATATTTGCATTTCAGAGGAGCCTAGATCTGCCATTAATGTTTATCAAGTCAAAGAATGAGTCTGGGGAATGGTCCCTTGTTCTGATGTTACCATAAATAGCTCTGTCTTGTTCTTTTGGGGACTCAATTTCCTATCTCACTATGAGGAAATTGATATGATTTTTCAGATCACCTAGTTGTATTTTTTTTTTTTTTGTTACCTGATGCAGCCCAGTTTCTTTACATTTTTCCAGTCTCCAATCCAAATATTCCAACAGTAAAATAAAATTCCAGGGCAATATTGGGCCCAATATCAAAGACTTCTCTATACATTTCAAGAAATGGAAAATTATTATAGAGAAAAGGCCATAAACAGTGAATATTCTCACATATGTTGAATAAGAACGTCTTACTTAGACATCACACAAATAATTAATGCCCTAAGTCTCCAAACAAGCAAAGCTAGTGGTTTTCCTCCCCAGTGCACACACTAATTACCTTGGTTGATTCTAGACTTCACCTAAAGGGGCTGTATCCTTTCTGCCTTTCAGGGTGGACACACAGGGCCTATGGGGCCTCCATCTATGCCTCCTTCATTCCGCCCAGAAGATGAGCTTGAGCACCTAACCAAAAAGATGCTGTATGACATGGAAAATCCACCTTCGGATGAATACTTTGGTGAGTGGGGTTTAGCGCTGACTTCTAAAGTAAATGTCCTATTCCACTTTTCTTACTAAATAGTGTCATAATCCTTGCTGATAAAGTATTTGAGTCTGGATGCATGAGAGTTGATGTGCACGCACACATCACTGAGTAATTGTGAGGATTGTGTTAGATACTATCATAAATGGGAAACTACTTAATTTGAACTATAATTGCCTTGGTTCTCAGTTTCTTGAGACACACTTTATTTCTTTATTGAAGCCAGTGCTAGGAATCTAACTCAGGGTCTTGTGCATGCTAGACAAGCACTCTACCATTGAGCTACATCCATAGCCCATAAATATGATTTTAAGATTTAACTTTTGACCATTTGTTAGCTATCCATTAGGGAAAACAAATCAGATTTCTGTGAACATTCAAGTTTCTCACTGTTCTAAGAGTCATGTATAGAATATGGAACTGAGTGTGATCTCAACTCCATACTCTCAAATCTTTTCCTTGTCCAAATTTAGGTGACGATGTTCCCTTTGTATTTTTAACTTCCTCCTTCCTTAAAACTGCAAATAACTAAGAATAGTTAATTCTTCCAGTCCATTAGTAGAATACAAAATTATGAATTATATGCCAATTACAAGGTACCATGAACACATAATTTGTCAGAGTTGTTGTGATGGTTCAAAAGCATTAAGACAAATACGCAGATAATTACTAGTCTAGTTAAGAAGTGGTAATAGCCATAAGAAGGCCAAGGTCAGATGTTACAAATTTTAAAACCTCAATCAGGAACATCAGGAATGTTTTATAAAAGAATTGGTGGCACTTGAACCTGGACCTTTCAAACCAATGTCTCTCAAATTTTCTATGGTAAAGACTATTTTCATTCTCATCTATTGAGACCAATGTTTTTGCAGCATATAATTAAAATTAATTACTAGGAAAATAAATTAAAAATATAAAATACCAAAAAATACAGTGTGAAAAACCAAATTTTATTAAATTTGAGAGATTTTAAAAAATTACGCAATAGTTATAGGAGGTTTTAGACACTCATTCTCTGTTTCTTCGCTTGTCTCACCCCGGGATGACAAACATTTCTTAGTCAAACACCCATCTGAGGACCACTTTTTGAGTAGTTGCTTTAAGGACATGTGGAGAAAGACCATTTAGGGTGCAATTTGAGTAAAGGCTCAAAGGTGGGAAAATTGCACAGGGCTTTTGCTTCTTCAAATATTTCCTATTTTCCTGTCTTCCCCCTTGCTTCCTATTTGGGAATATGTAATGAAAGGTAAACTAAGGGCACTGACCCAAAGCTGCATAGTGAATGGAGTGGGAGGAACTGGGATGTGAAAAACATGGCCTTTATATGTATGTAGGTGGCAGTGTAGCTTAGCCAAAGAGCACATGAGTGGGAATACAGAAGTCTGCTTCTAGTCCCTCTGTGCCCATGGCTGGCTAAGCACTATGAGCCTTCCCCTCATCTGCTGGAACCCCATTTCCCACCTTGGTAAGTCAAACATATACAGCAAATATTCTCTAGCTTTTCTTTCAAAACTAGTAAATTCACTAGAGAATCAGTTATGAATCCAAAGAAGCATAGCAATAAAGATGAACATTAGTTGATGGAGATTGGCACAAATGCATGGATAAGAGTAAAGCACAACAAAAAGCCAAAGGAGGTCTCCAGTTATATGAAAATATACTAAAAGTCTATCATGCTCTTGTCATTACAGTGGGAGGAAGGTATATATACTTTTAAAAAAGCAAAGCATGTTAAAAATGAAAAATAAGGTCTCTGAATTTGAATAGATTAAGAATGAAAAACTGAGTTCCACGTGTATATGCTTCAAGTATCATAGCAACAAAATAAATAGCAATGAAGAAAATTGAACATGGACAGTGACTGTATTAATGAAGACTTGTTGAAGATTCTGGGTAACAGAACATTCTGTGTTCAGGAACTGTCATAGCTCTACTATGTACTAGCTTAGAAAACTTGAGCAAATTATTTACTCTCTAAACATTTATTTTTGTTTTATCTATAATATGGAAATAATATCTATCTTATATTGTTATTGTGAATAATGAATGAAATATTTATAGAAAGCACTTAGCCAAGTTCTTGGCATGTAGAATATGCTCAGTAGTCAAAGTTCTCCAATGCTCTTGAGGCTTGCAGTTTATTTAAGAAAATAAGATATGCCCATTAAAAACCCATCAATAATACTTGATTTAAATTTAAGTTCTTAGCAACAGTAGAACATGTGTCACTAACTGGTAAATAATCATTGCCAAATGGAGATTACTAACCATGAGGGAAATTTTTTTAAAAAAGAAAGATGGCTAACTTTTATTGAGTGTTTATGATATAACAGCACTATTTTATGTACTTCACAGAAATTAACTTTATTTCATCCTTACAGAAAAACAACCCTGGGAAGTAGATGCTGTTATCATTTCCAGATTAGAAAATTAAGGTGCAGAAATATTAAGTATTTTGCAGCTAATAGTTGAAGCAGGACTCTATTAATTCCAGGCTCAAGGCCTACATCTTTAAAATAGACAGTATAGGAGAAGGGGAGATGTTGAGAGCCACAGCCAAAGGGGACCCAGCAAACTTCCAGCTGCCGGCTGATGATTGGCTCACAGTGGCCCCAGTAACATCTAGCTGATTGGCTCCTCGGCGGTGATGCTCATTGGGCTGTTTCCCTGCCCTTTCAGACCATGGAGCTGCTCATTGGGGGACTTCTTTGGCTCCGCCCACACGACCCAGCCAATCGACCTCAAGAGCAGGAGGATTGTGGGAGGTGGAGAGGCTGGGGTGGGTGAGAGGCTTGTGGAAGCCGGTGGTGGCAGTTGGGCTCTGAGGGTTTTTTCCTGAGGAGCTGTTTTGTTTGGCATTTGTAGTTCTAAAAATAAAGTTAGTTTCTTTTGACAAGTGGCTCCTGAATTGTGCCCAGCCAGACTGCAGCAGGGAGAGTTAGCCAAGCTGCACATTTAAAAAAGAGTTTATGAAGCCAGATGCCATGGCGCATGTGACTCAGGAAGCTGAGGCAGGAGGATCACAAGTTCAGAGCCTGCCTCAGCAATTTATGGAGGCCCTAGCAGCTTAGTGATACCCTGTCTCAAAATAAAAAATAAAAAAGGGGTGGAGATGTGGCTCAGTGGTTAAGCACCCATGGGTTCAGTCCCCAGTCCCATAAAAGAAAAAGGTTTATGAGGAACCTAGCTTCAGATAGATGGAAAGAAAATAAGGGATAGATACTCTCTTCTAAGAACACAAAATAAACAAAATATAATTTGAGTCAGGTTTGATGAAGGAGAATGTACTTTTGTGGAAAACATCCAAAGACATACACCCTCCTGGGTAATGCTGGGAGCAGACATCAGTCTTAACCTTTAAAATGTGCTTAGACAATTCACAATAGCCAAACTATGGAGCCAGCCTAGGTGTCCATCAACAGATGAATGGATAAAGGAAAGGTGGTATATATACGCAATAGAATTTGTCTCAGCCATGAAGAAAAATGAAATTATGTCATTTGCAGGAAAATGAGTATTGCTACTTCCCACATGGGCATTTCACTCCAAATTTTGAGGGAAAACATTTGTGAAATAGATCAGGACCAATCTGTAAAAGGCTTTCAAACCCTGGCTGAAGGCTAAGGACTTTATAGTCTATAACAAGTCGTTGCATATTGCTGAGATGCATACCAGGGGGTCTGTCCCATCCATAGTAGTTAAGACCATGGACTCCCAGCCAGAGTGCCTGAGTGGAATACCCACTGTACTTTTACTGGCAACTTAAAGTCTGGAGGCAAAGGACATTTTAGCAGAACCATTATTTACCGTTCCACTCTTTAAATGCTTCCCATGAAATGTCTCTGTGCCTACCACTTTGCTAGGCCATAGTGCAACATACATGCAGAAGCTGTTCCCTCAGGGGCACAGGCTCCTGGGACAGGTGGGAAAGACTCACAAAGATGGGACTTCAGTGTGGATGTCAGCTCTGTGTTGAGTGTGACTTAGGGTGCCACATAGGGATGGAAGAGATGCTCTCTATGTCTGATACATCTGTCTGAAGACAAGAGAAAGAAGATTACTTAGCATTGTGTTTGGGTCAGGAGGACTTGACCCAACAGACGTGGATAAACTCCTCCTTTGCTCTCTATCTGAATTTCACATTAGGCCAATTTTGGGCTGAAAATAGCATTGCCAACCAAGTACCACCCTTTTTTAAAAAAAAAAAAAAAAAAAAAACTACTCCTCCCTCACAATACCATCCCAACCCCAACCAACTCCCATTGCCTATTTTTTTTTAATCCATCATTTTTATTTAATACTGGAGTTTTCATTGAAACAGGAGCTGATTTGTTGAAGCTTGTTGGGTGCTTTCAGGTCAAAGATCTCTACTAGACTACTATATAGTAGCTGGATCTATCTATCTCTACACTAGCTGCTTCAGGAGTCAGTCAGTGGGAATTACTTATAAGTGGTCAGTAGAGTAGGCTCCCTCTGGTCATGTCCCTTACTTTCTGTGGCACTGTTTTTTTCCCCCGTAAGTGGCATGATTCATAAATACATTGCTATTTTTTTCCTTAGGGAGCCTCTTCTTACTTGTAATCATTTGTACTTGTATTTGAAGAATATTATAATTATGGTATGATTAATAGAATTGGGAAGGGTTTCAAAAAAATCACCTCACAGATGATTTAAGTACATAAGAGAAAAGGTACCTTTACAGTGGAGAGGGCTACTGGAAACTATCTAAATCCAAGTGATGAAAGTTAGCATCACCCGTATAGGGCAGAGTGCCATGTGCCATACACATCACCTGTGTAGTTGTCTTGCTGAAGTATGAAACTGCCATCCAGCCATTAGGACATGTTAAAAACTTAGACAATGGGACATTGTTTAAGAAAACTGTCATGAGTTCTTCAAAGTTGTCTGTATGGGCTGGGGCTGTAGCTCAGCAGTGGAGTGCTTGCCTAGTATGTATGAGGCACTGGGTTTGATCC